GTTCCAATGGTTTGAACTAGCAAATTGAAGAGGTCATAGGTATTCGGAGTTTGACAACGCTTTAACCAGTAACACCTACTAATATGAACCGTACCCACAAAGTGAAATCGAAAAACAGAAGCGAGGAAGTTAAAAGATATATTTGATATGCTATCAATATATCTGATCTAATCTGGCTAGCGATTGCAGGGGTTGTTGATCACGGCGTTCCCACTCGTGATCTGGTGCGGAGGCATGACCGAGCGCCTTCAGCTAGGTGAGTCTATTAAAACTAACGTGGTCAGCATCCAACGTCGAAAACCTACAGAGCTATTTATTTTGTGGATTTATTTACCGCTACAAAATTTCTAAACTGTGAACAACGATGATGTACATAGTCGCTAGATAACAGGAAATCAGTGTTTGCTGCTCATGTGGATTTTAGGAAAGCATTTATCAAGGTGCCGGATAATAGATTTCTCTTGAAGCTTGAAAACATACGAATTGCCGGACCTCTCCAAAGCAAATCAAAGATTTCTTTATAGGTAGGAGACAGAAAGCAAGAACAGATTCCAAATGATTCTTCTGAAGACCAGTACTTGGTGAAGTGCCACAAGGTTCTGTTGTAGGTCCTTTACTTTTTATACTGTGTGCAAATGAACTCGCAAGTATATTTGAGTCTGCGAATCTACTTTATGCTAGTGATGTACGAATTTAGTGGGAAATAAATGGAGACGTAGATGCACATGCATTTAAATCGGACTCAGACATTATTGTCCCTATATCTGACTCCAGTTTAGTCATATTCTGGTTGTAGTTAAAGCTTATGTACCGCCAACCGTCGCATATTTTTACTGATATTATTTGCGTCAGAAAATAAGGGGACAAAATAAACTAAACACAACAATGGATTTTGAGTTCGTACATTTCACACATCGATTGATCCGGACAGACAGTCCGAGAAACGAAGTGAAGGAAGCGAAAAGAAACGAAATGACGCGCAGTGAAGGAGGTGAGTGAGGCAGATCGTTTTCATCAAGCGTGACTAAATATTTATGTTTATACAAAATAAATTACAGACACGTAATGAATAGGGTAGTCGTTTGACGCACATAGGATCATTTAAAAAAAGCAATCTGAACAATAAGCGGACAAGTGACAAGGTAAAAATGTGGCTTCCGAAGAATGAATAAGTTGGTCAGTACAAAAGCTTAAATAACCTATGTGGGATTGACATAGTACCAGCTACTTTGAGACTTCCTGACCAGCTGGTCTAAAACATTTTTGATGCCCTTCAACACGATTTAACGTGTCTACATCCACATTGGGGATACGAAGGCAAATAAGTACAGTATTGGGTGAGTTGTTGCCCGTAGTCCTGCCTCACAATGACCTAGAGGTAACAGAGAGCCAAAGCCTTAAGACTACTGCTCACTGCCATGAAGTTTTAGCCAGGGGTTTCGGAGCCCTTCGAGCCCGAACATCAACCAGATTGCTTACTGGTACGCTCATCATAGCATTCATTACCCCAGTGAAATCCCATCTTAAAAAACTGCGTTTAGTTTATAAGGCTTTGTTTTAAAGGTGACTCAGTTATCTTGAGAAAATTACAGGGGGAAGATACCCGTGATACTCTAAAGTTCCAAGGTTTACCATACACTGTGTGGATTGAGAAGATAGATCTCTTAACTCTTTCTTGCCACAGATTAAGATGTGATCCGATTTCGATGTATAGAATACTACTGGATCAAGACAGCCCAGATAAAATAGGCGAATTTAAAAGTCGAGAACGAACAAAATATAGATTGCGTATAGGTTTTTACGCTGAGTCATCAATTTTTAGAGTTTGTTCTTCGCCGAAATGGTAACCACCCATTCGATTAACTAATTCAAAAAATACTGGGCACCCTCATTAGTTTACTGGAAGACACACAATCTGCGGGCCTTCTGTCCTCACTGCCAAAATCTGAATCTACTATATTTAACCATAAAAGACTTCAAGTGTAGAGATGCCACAAGTACTTGCAGTTTGACAACAATTTAACCATTAACATCTGTAATTGAATCGTTCCAACCCAGCGAAGTCAAAAGTTAGAAGCGAGGAGGTTCGAAGATATATTCGATAGATTACCAATATATCGAGAAGTGACCGATCTAAACTGGCCAGTGGTTGCGAGAGAAGTTGAGCACGACGTTCCCACTCGTGATCTGGTTTGGATGCGTGACAAGGTGACTTCAGCGAGATGAATCCATTAGAACTAATGAGGTTGGCATCATATGTAGAAGACAAACAGATCTACTGATTTTCGGGATTTATTTACCGCTACATTACTATCAAAATGACTGGGTCTTTTCAAGTTTACCGGTGGATTTTTGATTCAAACGACAATTTTGTCATGATTAGAATGTGATTTTAGACAGTAGAGAGCCAATACAATTATTACATTTCCTTCCATCCTCAACGATTCTAATAGAGGATTATTAAGGCCACATGTGGTTTTCTTATCGTTTCTCAGCTGAGCTGCTTTATGCCTTCTTGAGTCGAGAGTAACTCTATTGTTGTCTGACCAGCCTCACAATCAAATTGGATTCTCCTGAGATGATAACTTATCTATCTGGTTGTAAACTTCTGTGACAACCTTATTTTATATACCATTGAATACTTAGATGAACCGATGAGGGATGTTCAGAAATTGAATAATAACTTTTTTTCTAGTTTAGATGCTGTATTATGTCCGCTGTCTAGGTCTCTTTTCTGACTTGCATGAAACACATTATTTGGTTTCATACTGCATGATGATAGGTGGGTCAGCATTGTCTGCTTAAGCAATATCAAGTAATACTGGATGATTGAACTTTGGACTTAGATCTAATGAAAGTATTCTATCTAGTAAACTTCCCTTAAAGATGCGTATCATTAGCAAAAAGAAGTGCTTCGGAATATGCCTGTAAACGAAGGTTGTCTTGATAGTTTCAAAAACAAAAGGAACTTATATTGAACTTGGAGTGGCCTTATCGGAAGACTAAGTATTCTTAAATGGAATAATCTGATCAGGCTAAGACTAGCGGTGTTTTTTTAATGTGAGCCAAACCAGTCGATCGATGATGAGTTTATGTCTGCTGCAGCTTGTCGATAAGATAAACCTGTGTAAGTGGCTTGACAGAGACAAGTTATTGTTAAGCTATAGAGTGAACGTTTTGGTTGGTCACTTTACTAGAATATTAAGTGATGACTAATGAAGAAGTTTTATCTTCTAAATGCTTCAGAAAAAGGAAGGATGTTTTGATAGATGAAGATAACGAGACAGGAAACAGAAAAGATGTGTGACGATGTTACGATTATTCACGGTTTGATGACGCTTTTATCCGTAACACCTTTATAATCAAAGGACCCCAAACCCGGTCAAACCAGAATTCAGGAATCAAGAAGTTTCAAAATAAAATTTAGGAGGTATTCGATATGTCGAGAAGTGTTTGACCTAAGCTGGCTATTTGCTGCCTGGGGTACGTAACACGGTGTATTTAATTGTGGGCTAGTGTGGATGCGTGACCGAGCGTCTTTATCTAGGGTGTGTCAAGTCAAACCAATGAGGCCAGAATCAACGTCAGATACCTATGGGACTATTTATTTGTAGGATTTATTTAATTCCACATGTGTCATGCGCAACACGCAAATGAAGGGTGACTATTGAGCGCTACATTGGTTGTTTGTCCATTTTACAACAAAAACGTTTTGATAATCGTGTAATCCCTCCGAAGGGCAAACATACCAATTTGACTTTTCAAAAATTCTCAATCCTTTAGATACATTTATAGTCAGGAAAGAAGAGTTATTGAAAATGTTGATTATACGTTTCAGATAAGGACAGTGGATTGTATAATATTAAAAACCTGAGTGTAAATAGTAAATATTGGTCTCATGAAATTCCCTATAATTTACATGATTGTCAGATACTTGTATCATACAACCTGTCTTTTCTAGAATCATCCTACTCTTCCTTGAAAATCTGATCTTATTGTATGAATGACTTCATTAGTTCGACAAATATAATTTCCGTAATTCCTGACAGTATTGTTGGCAAAACTATCAGTCTACAAGTACTTGAAAACTAACAACGATCAGTAGCTTGAAGTTGTGGCTAAACTATATGCAAATCTCTGTTTTAATGGATTCAAAAAAAACAGACATGTAATCCCATTGGTATTAGTTTTTTGTACATATCCTTTCTATGTATTAGTGCTTGTGTCCGTCTATTTACTACTTATCCTATTTACTATTTTGGCCTAAATAAATTGAGTCACTAATTAACTTACTGACTGATTTCGCTAATCACTCCAAATACGCAAGATTTAACTAAAGGTTAAAATCCATGTTCTACCCATTCAGTTAGTGGTATGGCTTATCTACTGATTAATGGATGTCATAAAATATCTCCATTTTTTATGAGACTACTTGACATCACGTTATCCTATTCCATATGGAATTTTCAGTCTTAGAATAAATGCGAGGTGAACCTCAGTATAAGTTAACTATGGGAATAATCAGATACCGTGATCAGATGGTTACCACAAAATACGATAGATGGAAGATGTAGTTTTCGTTATGAACACCAACACTCGAATATCAGTACATCCAACTGATGAGTTTTAAGCAGAATGAAACGTATCCTAAATCACACTGACAGTCATCATTCAAAATGATTATCCTGAAATAAATTTATGTGTCAAAAAAAAGAATGATGGAAATGACCAGGAAAGAGATCAATCTAAATGATTACATATATCATGTTAGATATTACAATCGATAAAACATTAAATAAGTAATAATCATATACTCAAATAAATGTTTTATTTCACCGTGATAAAATGACAAAAGGTAGATTATAGAAAGAAATGGGAATGACTGTGATATTATGCAAACTATAGATACATAATAAATGTTGAAGAGCTATTTTATTTATGGAATCAAAAATGTCAAAAAGACCATTAGTTAAACTATTCATATTCACTGAATGTTTATACGAAGAAATGAAGATGAAATGACAGTAACAAAAATTTAAGTTATAAACCTTTTTTACAAATTTTAAATAAATAAATAACAAGTAATATTTTTTTAATAATAAATATATTTTTGTTATATTCTAATGAGTAGAAAAAATGTATTTATGATGTTTCGTGACTTAATCTAAGTCACTTCTTCAGAGTAAATAAATAGTCGACATTTAATGAACACACACTATTCAAACTTGTGTTCATTTAATGACAATTATTTATCTACACTGAAGAAGTGACGTAGATTAAGTCACGAAACACTGTAAATACATTTTTTCTATTCATTAGAATATAACAAAAAATATATTTATTATTAACTCACTATCAAATGCTCAATTAATTTGAAATTACCTAGTTCAACCTTGGTATGGATACCTAGAATATTCGTTTGTTTTTATTGTTCTCTGTATTAAGAATTACAGTAAAAAAGGATTCATTGTACTCTTTTCTGTATTATTAACAAAATCGGTTTTGTTTGATTTTATAATTGAATTATTAATTTGATTAGTATGTTTATATGAATTTATCTTTCTGTTCCATTTCTAGAACCCAATTCTAATTGATTGATATCATTAGTTTCAACTATGAAATCAGTTTTTTCATTATTATCATTCATTTGTAAAAATAAACTATTTTCCTCTTCTAGTTGTTCATGATCTATAGAATAAACACTAGTATTTTCATTAAGTACATTAACATTACAGTCATTATTTGAATCTTTAAATGATTCTTGATCAAAATGAGACTCTCGTTCTTCATCCTCTTCATCATCTCCTTCTATATCATTCTCATCATCTTCGTCATCATCATCGTCATCATCATCATCATCATCATCATCATCAGTTGAAGAGTGCACTTTATCTGGTCTAAAATCTTTCCATTTCCTTAGTTCTAATGAAACACAATTATTAGTATGTTTTTCCAGAGCAGTATTATTAATAGAAGTAGCCGGAGTAGTGGTAGTAGTAGTAGCACTGATAGCATTTTCTTTCGATTTAATCTTTTTGTGATTTTTACTTTGTGAAGATGAACCTACGTGTTCAGCTACTGCTTCTGGATGTGCTTCTCTTATATGCGCTTCAACCATCCATTTACGACGCTCAGGCATTTGTTTTGAACATATTGGACAAACCTATAGTGAAATGAATAAAACATGTTTTGTCTAGTCAGTATTGAAAGAAGCCTGAAATGAACAAAATGTATATATTGATACGCTAACCAAAAACGAAAAAAGCCACACAATGTTTCAACGTAGCATGCTGATTGAAATGCAAGTGTGGGCTGACTATTCTCAGTAGCTTACTCACCTAGTCACGTTCATTCCCTGAATGTCATTATTCGAGTTGACCTGACAACCCATGAATGGAGATTAGGTGTGAACATTATGCGGTCTTTTAGTAATAGACATTCTTACACAATCTCTGTTTTCTCCCTCTGTATAGTTAAATTTGTCGAGTTCTAGGATTGTGCACAGAAGACTGAATCATATAAATAGCAACAAAATAATTACGTTAAAGACTAGGTATCCCAAAAGTTAACTTCGCACATAAAATCCAATTCTTAAACAGTAGTATTGTTTCTTATTAGTAATTTTTCCTTACAAGAACTCTAACTTAGTAACATAATTAGCGAAATACAATTCCAAATTCTTAATGAGACTCTGTAGTTAACATCACGGACTGACTTTAGACAGTTAAAAACTAGGAGGTACTTGATAGCTGTCTCGTCTCATTATAAGGCTCCTCGGCAGTGTGAATCGACGAACCCACTGAGGATCAACCAATAACACTCGGACCTCACAGCGAGCACTTGAGCTTCAGACAAATGTGCTAACATTTTAAGACCAACGATCGGGCAGTAATTAAAGTCAACAATATTGCTACGACTTGACCAAAGGACAATACCTATGTTAAATAATCAGGAGGGGGTGAGACATTATTCTAAGACAATATGGGCTACACAATTAATTATAAAGAAGAAACATTTGGAAATGCTTCAGCACTCATTCTCCCTGAAGAACAGTTCTGGTATATATAAATCCGAGCTCCTATACTAATCAGTAAAAGTATGAGTATATAATCGATTCGTTTATATATACTACCGTTATTTACGACCGTCGAGCAAATGCAATATCCAACTCTGTAAAAATAAGTTTCTACTGTTTTTATTCTAAACAAAATCCTACTGAATTATTAGAATAAGCTTTCTAGAAGCACGTAAATTTACTACGGAATAAACCATCAGGGATTTTAAAGTCATGGCAGCTTATAGTCCATTGTTCAATTTTACGATTTACATAGATAGTTAGGCTCATCTGACACTCAATAAAAAACATACATAAATATGTAAAAAAAACGTAAGAGCTGAAACAATTATATGTCAGCTCAAATTGTTACACATTCGAAAGAAATTGCCTGCTTTGGCTTGGGCGCCCGGACAGTTACCAGTCTTCACACAAATCGACTGATTTGTGTGGCACATATATGTTTGGTGCCTCCTTGTACTAATGTTTATATGTCTGAATAAATAAATAAAAATCTAGAAAAGAACTTGAGGTGAGACTCTAATTGATGGATGACCTTTGGGCGACGCTGAAGTGACCTTGAGAGTATCCACCTACTAACGAGGACTAAATGAGAGTCAAAAACCAGTGAGATAAATTGAAATTATGATTTACAGTTGATGGTTAGAGTTAGGAATTAGATTTAAGGTTTTTATCACGAACCGAAATCAGCCAAAATGCCGAAACGCTATTTAGTCACATGGATGATTGAATTTGGCGCCAAATCCCAAAACCTGCTACCTTTTATCTGATTGGTTCGTTCATAAATTATAGTCTCATTGAACTGGATAAGGTCGAGAAATAGGAGTGGAATTAATAATATTGACGGTATTAAAAAGTCAAATCAAAAAATTAAAATGGAAATAACATATAAAATCAGTAAATAAAAGGAGTATGACAATAAAATATTCAAGATTTGGAGGAGTATAAAGAAAAATTATGTCAAGGAACCTAATCAGAAAACACACAACTGGTTTAGTCATATTTAGTCCCATTTGAACTAGCTTCTATGAAAACCAGCATAAAGAATTGAGTTAAGTATGTATGAGAGTAACATAGATTGCAAACGCTTCAATAGAAAAACTGGTCAATCTTTTTTGAAACTAGTACTCTACACTAAAAATGTTTTACACATAAATCAAGCACTCAGTTAACTACAAAGACTTATGATACCTGTCACATAGACTGATATGCAGATAATTAGAAGTATTTCAGTTGTGACCAAAATCTTTTGAATATGATATGTGGTATAACAAAAGAATGATAAGGTGCGAAATTGTAGTTTAATGTATGGGATGTTCTATGACTGGAATGACCTTTGCAAGACTATGAATTCAAATTTTAAGATTTTGGCACGATAATTATCTGCAACTTACATAAAACTCGTGGTTAACATAGGGTATGAAACAAAATTGTAGTATGATCACTTCAATACCTCAATTGAATGGGTAAGAAATGAAAAAATAAGGATTACATATTAGTCTCAATAAGCATGAAACAGTGACCTACAATTATATAAGTGAAAATTTAATTTTCAATACAAACTATCAGTCATCGAAATGATAATATGTTACCTGTGGATGAAGTTTTCTCAAATGTCCTTCCATTAATTTCAGCGAACTAAATGATTCACTACACTGTGGACATTTGTGTGGTGTAACAACATTATGTGTAGTCATACGATGACTTCTTAGGGCTTGTACTGTAGGAAAACCAGCTGGACACAGATTACATAAATATTTGCGACCAAATGTCACTGACCCTCTAGGTGTTAACTGTAAGATACAGTCGCTGTTGAATGAATTACTTAAAGTTTGTTCAATTTTGAATGATTGCATATTGCTACTGTTATTATCAATATTAGTAGTATGGTTGTCATTATCCAAACTTTCATTTTGTCTTTGTGATAATACACGACCAACTTCAGCGGCAATATTTAAAACTTCTTCTTTAGGTGCATCAATTTTCATCCAAACATCAGTATCATTATCAAGATTTTTTTTAATTCCATGCGTACGCAAATGTCGATTTAGTAGCGATTTAGAGGCTAAACAAAAACCGCATAATTTACATAAATAAGGTCGAACACCAGTATGTGAACGAAGGTGTTCATTTAAATGAACTTTTTGTCTATAAGCTTTTGAGCATAATTCACATTTGTAAGGACGTTCACCAGTATGTGTTCGTATATGTTTTTCACGAGCACTGGCACGACTAAATGTTTTCTCACATGCATCACATTTAAATTTGCCACTATTTGCATGACGATCCATATGTTCACGCAAAGAACCTCGTCTCATTGTTTTACAGCATACTGGACAATTGATAAACTGTTTTTCACGTTCCCGAGATTTGCATTGATGTAAATTTTTATCAGTCGCATTACCCTCATCATCATCTTCGTCAGCACCTTCATCATTATCGGCATCACTGTTATTTGAGGATGGACCCCACATTGCTGCATTAGGATTTTGGTGTTTAGCAGTAGGTGACAAATTAACATTATTTCGATTCGACACTGTGTCATTTGATTCTTCTGTTGGTTTTACGGTCGCTGTTGTTGTTTCAGTGAAATTTTCATTAGGTATTGTTGGTAAAGATAAACCAAGAGGAGCTATCGGTGGTGTTTCAGAAGGAAAAATTGGTATCAACTGTCCAGAAGAGAGTGCGGCAACAGTGGCCACAGCAGCTGCCTGTGCAAGAAAAGCCGCTGTTTGTAAGGTATTCAAACATTCCGTGGTGACTGGAATCGGTTCAGTTGAATTTTGACAAGTTTTCCTTTGTTTCTGTTTCGGACTATTCTCATCAGTATCTGGAGATCTTTTCATAATAGTACGGTTGGTGTCATATTCAAGCGCTTCATCATCATTATCTTCTTGTAAACTGTCATCATGATGATCATCACTGCTATCGTCATGATTATTACTGCTTTGACTATCAACATCATTAGAACTCAAATCATCTACAATATCATCAATGTTATCTTCATCGTTCGAGGATTCCTTTTTACTATTTAGATTAAACTGTTGGGGAGTTGCTTTGAATCTTGGCATATCAGTAGTAAACAGGATAATCTGTATTGAAAAAAAGAAAACGAATAAGAACAAAGGCTACTAGGAAGGAATGACATGGAATGGAAATGATATATGAATTCCAGTTAGAATATTGGTAATATAAAGATTAATAATTACATAGTTAACTCATTCACAGGGTGATTGAATATGAGCCACACTGTAGCTATAAGGAATGGGGATACTACACAGTCTCCCAAACCGAAATAGGTGGACCGAGGTTCGAACCCAGGACTCAATGTCTGAAAGTCGAACTCTCTAACCAAGAAGCCATTTGTTGATAGGTGTTTCGCTTTCTGTCAGTAATTTGATCACATCCTAACCTCGAGATTAAAATTACTATCTGTTTATTACCTCTCGAAGTCAGTGACTACATCAATATATACTAAGCTGCCAAGTTGAATACTCTTTTACTTCAACGTATGATGATTTTACTTGACCAATATGATAATTAATATAACATGAGCAGAATTTTGAAATCATATTATCATTAGTCAAATTATCAAAACTCCTGCATGAAAGTTGCCAAAAAAGGTTTAATCGTTACGTAAAATAATAACTAGGTGAGCTCCGTGCCCTAATTGGATATCCGTTCACACATCCATGTACATTTTACTATGACTAGGTGATCGCGGTTTCAATATTCAAATGCTGATGTATTGCAGAACACATCGAAACTTTTGTTAAGTACTCCGGTTTTACTAAATGTTATTTGAATCACACCTGATATGAATAACAAATACACATAAATGAGAACCTCCGGTTAACTAAACATGAGTTATTACCCAGTAGTGATGATTGATTGATGAAGAAGTGATAGATGGTGAAGGTCCTACAAAGAAAACATAACTTTTACATGCCAACCACATTTTATTCAATGACCAACAGACGTCGTTTATTATAAGTTTTTAAAACTGGAAAAAACTAGAAACTTTTCTGAAGTTATATTTTTGGAACAGAACGTCGTTAAAAGATGTATTACAATTTACTGACGGTTAATAAAGTAACCAAAGCACAAAAATAAAAAAACCAAATATATCTGGTTGTTATGGATGATCGAAATCATCATTTACTGTGATGTTCACTCCTACCATTAAGTTTTGTAGTGATATCAATGTTTACTTTTAGCCACATAATCCGAATCTGTATAATATTTGTTATTTTGTATCAGTATTTAACGTTTATTCATAAGACACAAAAATCTCTTCTGAAATATCGTCTTCTGTCTCTCTGTCTTTCTCTCTTCAACAGAGTGTGTGTTGTCCATGTTGCAGTATTATCATGTATTAATCTCGAACGAACCTAATTTAACTAAAATCCTCTTACATTAGGTCTAATAATTATTAATTGGTCAGATTTACTGAATAACATTTACTAAGATGATCAATAAGGCTGATAACCTTCAATTTTAGATCATAATACCAGTGACAATTTAAATGTTCATTTAAGCATAAATGAAGAATGTGTAACAATCAATGATAAAGCTACCGATATGGAAAACATCCAGAAGTAACGTAGTATATAACACACACAAAAAAATTTCGAAACTGTGAAAAGTGTAAAGTTTAATTTTATTAAGAGATATTGACTTTCAATTCGATAACCTCTAGACTAAATATACATAAGAATATAGAGAAATAATTTATAATCGTCTGGAAGATTGTCTACGTGAAAGTGTCAGAAGATTATCTGAAAAATAGTGTGGTAGACTAGCATGTTTTATTACATGAACCTTCGTTAAACCTGAATGAACAGTCTAATAAAAGTTTGAGACACAAATATATAAAAGGCATTTAAAGAGAAATTATTTTTGGGTCGGTGTCTGACGAAATCTCAGCACGGATTCGAAAAGCTCGCTTGGCTTTCGCCAACTTACGTCATCTATGGCGAAGGCGAGATATCCGTATATCAATAAAAGGACGAGTAAACTGCTCAGTAGTTCGTTCTGTTTTACTTTACAGCTGCTAAACATCACCATTAAGAGTTGAAAAGACTCGTAAGCTACTAGTATTTGACCAAAGATGCTTTAGAAATATTGCCGGCATCTTCTGGTATCACCGGGTAAGTGAGATTAGAAGCAGGGTATTAGGAAGCGATGGTAAATCACTTGATGAGGTTGTGAATCTTCATCGACTGAGATGGTTGGGCCACGTGTTGCATAGGCCTGAACACCGATTACCACGACGTGCAATGCTAACCGGTGTTGGAGATGGTTGGAAGAAAGTTAAGGGGCAGCCAAATAAAAACGTGGCATCAGTCTACAAAGCCACTAACTCCTAGTCTGAGCCATATTGGTAGATGCAGACTACTTGGTTGGGGTCCGCGTGACCAGCGTAACCAATGGTCGGAGGCTCTGGGTGATGTGGCTCACGACCGATCACAACGACGTAGGTGTATACACTCTTCCCTTAAAATGTGAGATTAAAACCGCTTCATATCTTTCTTTCTACGAATTAATTCTTTCTTCCTGTACTATATCATTATATGCAATCTTTCTTTTATATATTACTACCATGGAAGTGACTACTTCTATGAATCGGGTGTTCATCTTGCTGTGCTAATGCAATATGGCAACTTGGACCGATGCATATATGTGCCTGGTCTTACGTTGTAGCTGACTGACTGACTGACTGACTATTTTTGTAAACATCCCGGTGATTAGAATAGTCCCAACATTACACTAGATAAGCTAGTTCCAGATTCGTGGAAAAAATCCTTTATGATATATGTATGACACATGAAGTGATTTATCTTCATGTTTGTTTAAATGAAAATAAATCTGAATGACTAATGATGAATTTTGAAGTAACAAGTCAAAAAGAGATTGTATATAAGAAAGACTTCTAATTGTAATGTATACATATATCAAAGAAAGGCTTTTTTAGGTGCAAGTTTTTATACTACGCAACAGCACAGAAAGAGAAAATCAACAAAAAGGGGAGATATTAAAAAAAAAATCCGTAGAAAGTTGGTGAGATAAAATAAATATAACAGGTAGTAAGTAAACAGTGTAACTATGTCTAAGATATTATGACCTATGACATTCGGAATCCAAAACCATAACGTTATCTCATCCCGATTACCACCATCAAGAGAATCAGATCATAAATCAGTGATTTTACTTGGTGTCCTATCTATGCCTGGTCATCTTGAGTCTTCCATCAACCTGTTCCTAATGTATGTACAATAATACACCAGGTTATAACTTGACCTGGATTACATAAAATGTGTAATTTAATTGAAACAATTGGTGGAAGTTATGGTTTCATCAGCTAGCCTACTTCTCTCTAGCCAAAACTCTGAATTTATCCATATCTGGTGGTTCTACAATATGAGACCAATGCATGACAATAATCCTGTCACTTGTTGATATCCATTACAAATATGTACCTACAGCATACAAAAACATATACCATTCTCTAATAATGCATATCTTGGTCATTTACAATCAATGGAAAATTATTAATCTTGAAGGTCACTTTATGAAAAAAAATTATCTCAAAACTGTTATTTCAAACATTCCATTTAACAATTAATGATATATTAATCCAACAAATCTTACGCAACTGAATTCTGATTAACTTGTTTATTTGCATTTACTTCGATTATTTACAGAGAACAGTCTCATAAATTCGCTCAGTTCGATGTGTACAGATTAAATCACACTCTTCTACTGTACACTATGTGTACTCGAAAATTCACTAGTGTATTTTTAGGAATGATACCGAAACAAATGAAACTAGACCACGATGGAAAACCTGGATTTCAACTAATTAATATACATTAGTTGGACTAACGCTAAAAATAATTTTAAAATTATTGAAATCTTGTTAAAGGATCTTGTAAAATGGAACCTCTTGAGATCATACAATCCTTGTTGTTTAGCATTTAATAGACTCAACTTTGAACTATAATACAATTATTCAAAACACTAAATTGAAACAACACAAACGCTGAACTCCCCCCTATATAGATGTAGATATTGTATCCAATCAGTCAATCAGCCACGACGTAGGGCCAGGCACATATATGCATCGATCCAAGTTGCCATATTGCATTAGCACAGCAAGATGAACACCGGATTCATAGAAGTAGTCACTTCGATGGTAGTAATATATAAAAGAAAGATTGCATATAATGATATAGTACAGGAAGAAAGAATTAATTCTTAGAAAGAAAGATATGAAGCGATTTTAATCTCATAGTTTAAGGGAAGACAGTGAGTGTATAAACGTGATTCCGAGACATGTCACCCAGTCTCCAACCATTGGTTTCAATAGTCACGCGGACCCATTGTATTCAATCATAATTTTACCAAGTTAAGTTTTCATGCTACTACATGCTAATTACATGTAGTATTCATGATGAATTCCTGCACAAAGTTAGTTTTTACCATGAACTGATATTAGCTGAAGAATAAGTGAAAACTTAGTTATTATAAACAGATGTTTCATTCCAGTATGGAACTTCTCACTTACAAAACAAGTTTTCATTTGTTTGTACTAGTTTTCAACTGGTGAGAGTTAATGAATTTCTAGATTGAAATCTAGAAATGGGCACTATGGCCACTATGATTTATCACAATGTTACCAACGCATTCATTTGATTTAATATCACTCATTATTTTAATGAAAATTCTTAACCAGTTATAGAAACTAATGAATTTATTCCATGAGAACGAATCTTGTAATTATTTGAATCAATTGTAGTTTCTTAAAATGATGGTTGTTTAAACAGATCACAGCAACACCAACAACAAAAATCAATTTCTTATAATCTCTTTTATCATCTACTTACTAATCACCTTGGTATACAACTATCAAAATAGATGACACTTTACTTCAAACAAACAAAGAAAGAACTACTACAGACATTTATTATTCTTCAACTATTTTCATGATTTTTTGCGATTAACTTTGGCTTACAATACGATTAGATTCATTTATGTGTGTGTGTATGTGTAGACATCAATATTAGAAATCTTATTGATTGGTTTTGTTGAA